CGTAGTCAGCAATATTATTAACCAGACATGGTATTGCCAGTTTAACACAACAACGGCTATTCTGTTAGCGCCTATTCCTTCGGTGACCAGTTCCAGTTCCCGGTAGATCAGGCTGGAATCAGGCACGATTGTTGGCTCACGACATATTTCCAAATAAATTTTCTGAGATTTTCAATCATTTGAGACGCAAAACTTTAAAGTTAGACAGGAGCGGTAGTCCAAGAGATTTTCAGAGAGGCGCCATGTTAGTAAAATGATGATTTCGACAGAAGACACCTACGTAGGCTCCCTCTGCTGATAAAAGATGTGCGTTTGGCTAACAGTCATAGGACCCTCATCGAGCACCGCCAGATACGCGACATTATACTCCTGATATGTCGTGAAGGCCTAATCTGGTTCCCCGCGGACGACAGCCTAGCAATAATTTGAAAAAGATGTGCGGCTAGCGACTGATGACGAAAGGTTTCTCGTTTGGAATCTACGCCAAACATAGCTGGGAACATAAGTAAACCCAGTAAACCAAAAGCTCTGCATAAATGGTAGATGTCAAGCGATAAACTTACCACAGTTTCACGTAACTGTCCATCAGCATCCAGACCATCCTCCGAGTCTGCAAGGCAAGAAGAAAAAAATTGGAGTATGCAGTAGGAATAAAAAAAATCTCTAAACTATGACACGCATGCAATAGTTCGAGTGTCGTGAACGATGGTCTCCACTGTGTGCCACACATACTGGACGCAGGAAGTTGACTTGCGCGTTACATAGTTGATTGTGATAGCAGACTTGCGTAGCACATCTCTCACTCGCACAAGCCCCGGATTCGCCAAAGTTGAAGACCTCCTCTCTAGCTGGAACATACTACTACCTGTTCCTGTAGCGGGCCGCTCAAATCTTGCATTAGTCAAGGTACCATTAAGGTCACAATAATAAGGAACCAATTCAGTCTGACTCGTGAGGGTCGAGTCATCCCCCCTTCAGGTAGAAATCTTTCAAACCGTGATTTTTTGCGCGGAGTAATGACTTCAAGCGCGTGAGATGGAGGTGTCGGCCTCGCGCGCTCTCTTTCTCCCTCATTCCTTTTCCATGCACCAGACGACTCCCCGGGCACACCGTAAAAAGGACCGGAGGTGGGGTCGAAAACAGTGGCTGACAAGACTACA